CCCTCCCCCCCCCCCCTCTAATTTTTGACCGGTCCCTTACCATAGTGTTCAACTAAAGCAAACTGTGCATACATCCGGTAAGTTTGACTCAATTAACGGAAAGAGAAAAACCAGTTGAGGCCTCCTTAAGTCACTTTCTTGAGTTGGTATGCAACCAAATAAAGAACTTGCAGGCTAATTGTCAGAAGGTGTCCTGCTCTCTCCTGTGGTAGTAAAATGTTAAAGTAACATAGTATAAACGGTCAAAGAGCCATCGACCACAACATTTGCATTTTGATCGTGGATGTTATGACTTCTTTCTATTTTTTTCACCTAAAGTTCTTAAACTATTAATGCCTATAAAGATTCTTATAATCACACGTTCTAGGTTAGCACGGGCTCAAGCTATTTTAAAATTATCATTTTGAGATCATGTACATAAACATGCAATATACACTGCGCCGCCATTCACTCAAAAGATGTTCCTCAGCGTTGTTGAATAACCCGTTGTTTCTTCTCGTGCCCATTTTGATTATCAAATTTAATCACACAAATTTGATCTTTTCTGGTCATACTATGTCATAGGAAATACAGGTGAATGTTTGAAAATGTGACGTTAAACTTTGGCTGAAACAAAACTTCATTTATAAGAATGATAAGATTAGAAATAGTAAGAAACAGGTTATCTGCTGGTTGGGGCGTACAGCTAAGCCTATTTCTGATTACATTGCGATAAAATGGCTAGAACGAGTTTATAGATGAACAGATTAAGGAATAAAACGATCATAACTGAAGGGTAAAACCTGGCTTAGTCAAAAAGGTTTAAACTGTCCGTAAGGAAATTACTGACCATAAACTATAAACACTGACCTAAAACAATTGCTGTCCACGCGTAACTTGTTAGATGTACTTGAGAACGAAAAACTAATAATAAAATAAATCATGTATTCGATGGGTTTTGCTAAAAGCAGGCCCCGTGGCCCAGCGGCCCACGGCCCGTGACGGCCCGGGGGTTTGAAGTCCCAGTGGCCCAGTCCTGATTTTCCACAGTTTTTTTGTCCAGCTGTAAATCCATGCCCATGCACAGATCTGCATCGGGTTTGGGCATGCAAAATGGACGACGGTGAGTTTGAATTCGTTTACCATTTTAATCATTTGAATCCTTGTTTCCGTTTGTTGCATGTTGTTCAGATAAGAACGTTTTCATTCTCTTTTCATTCGTCTCTTTACAGAAACCGATAGAGGACTTTCATTATCGAACGATGTAAGTTATTTTCAAACCATACTTTGAAAGTGAAAATATCATAAATAATGAGATATGTGAACTGCAAATCTTTTCTATGCAGAGACACGTCAGTCTATTTACAGGAACCCCACCCCAAAAGGAGAGCGTGTTCGCAAACATTGCTTTCCGGTGATGTAAGTACCATTTTTTTTTAATACGGTGAGTGCCCTGGGCGCTTATTTAATTGTTGGTCCTCAATGGCGGTGGGCCCTTATTCGAGGCTGGGCACTTTTTAAATTTGCACCATTTTTAGCAAGTAGCAGAATTTTAACCGTTCATTGAAAGTTTTTGTAAAGTACTAAAGAAACTCGGTGTTCGGGTAAGTCTCTTAGTAGTACTTACTCAATTTCAATCTCATTTATCTCATCGCTAAGGTCAACAAGCGAACTCTGCTTCTCAGTCGGGCGACTGATCAATTTGCCGCCTTTATGCTGTCGGACATCGAGGAGGCAGCTCCTTATTCAAGGTTGGGCAAAGAAATATGGTACATTATTTCGAGTGTAAAAGGAGCACTTTTCGATCACGGCAAAAAGTGAAAAATCAAATCCCGCCATCAAGAAATTCAAATTTGTTGTTTGTGTTGTGCTTCAATTTTACCCTTGGTTCATATTTTCTTTCCCTTTGTTTCAAACTCATTATCATACATTACCATACCCCTAAACAAAGGAAAATAAAATTTGAACCAAGGATAAAATTTAAATTCCAAATGAAAGAAGGTATCTTATTTGAACCCTAAACCCTAAACCCTACGAAATTGTGTACTCAGCAAACCAAATATATTTAACGTTTTATTTCAGATCTAAAGAACACGAACAAACATGTTGTAACAGTTTCTTGTGCAAAGTGAAACTATTGCGAAAGTTTTTCTAAGTGAACCTAATGGTCTCAGTCTTTATATCCCCTGTGGACAACTGACTAGCGGACACGTACTTTGGGGCATCGAACAAAACTGATTAAAAGAAACCCTTTAACAGCATGGCTTATTCTGATATGGAATGATGCCAAGTTTAGGTGCTGAGAACTAACACAACTGGCTGAAGATAAAACAACTAGGTGAAGGAAAAACAACTGGCTGAAGGTGAAAACGGATCATATCAAGTTCAGGTCTCCCCAAATTGGGGCCTACTCAATTGTAACAACACAAGTTGAGTCTATTTAAATCACGTTTTCTCTCACAGGAAGCATGTCAAGCTCTAATTTATCCAGAATAAGGGCTTCTTCATCCTTGTTTGGTGCAAAGTCGATCACTAAATTTGGGGTTTCGGGATTCTTCAAAAACTCTGGATGACATGCTCTGATACTCAATAAATCTAGATGATAGCCCCGTGGATTGTCAACTGCAGTAAGTTTGTCGGTTCCTGCTCGCCAATCTTTTTCTCGATGTACGACTATGATGTCCATTTGTGGTGGTCTTTCGTCGAAGTCTTTGCAGCAGCCTGGGAACTTTGGCACGCGGCACTTTTGTTTTCTTGTGATGAGAAAGGGGTGACAGGACTCACACCATGGATAGACTGAAGCGAGAGTCTTCTGAAGACTGTGCAGGTGATCGTCTCCGTTTTCTTTTTTGTTTGTGGCTTTTCTTCTTTCCGGCCTGTGGTTTGCCCGTACACAACGCCTCCAGTCATCCTTTGGGACTTGCCTTAAGAGGCCTAGTTGTGTGCTCTTCCATTTTGTTCTTGTCCTGCGCTGCAGCCACAGTGTGTGCACACACTTTATATGCTTTGTATTGCAGACAAGAATCGTCACATTGGTATCCAAAATGTTTGTGGGGCTGCACAAGGTGGGGCTTATTAGAGGAAAAACTCTTCACAGAACGACTTTCGTCTCCAGAAAAGGCTCTGGTCACAAGACCACCAGCAACCAATTTGTGTGCTTTTGTTTTGATACTATTTATCATGGGCTCAGAAAATCCAAGTCCTACAAGACGATCAAACTGGAGAATGTCTTTGCCTTCTACGTTGTTGCCCTTCACTGATGCTCGAGCATCGTACATTCCAAGTGGTTGGAATTCGTCTACTTTACTTAACACATCGGAAAAGTTTGCGTTTAGCATCTTTGCCTTTCTCCTTTTCCTTTCCCGTTCGGACAGATCAGGGTTGATTAGGTGGTCTGCACACTTGGAAACGAAGGGACAAAACTCTTCTAACACTTCATAAGGCGATTCCAGACCAGCAAGGGCTCTTGCCACGTCATCTTCCTCTCTCATCACCATTTCTTTCAAATCCAGGATAAAGAAGTCGTCATCTTTCTCTTTGAACCCTGTCCAGTTCTCCAGCATGGCGTTACCAGACTCTTACACGTTCTGTGTGTAGAGGACTTTACTGAACTGTGGAAAGCCTGCAAGCGCTGCAGATTCTGAGATCACCCTGTCACAAACTACTGGGATGAGGTAACGCGAGACATAAGAGCAGAGGCGGTTCATTGGCTCCTTAAACTCAGCATCCGCAGATTGTTGCCAAGTTTGTGGCTCCAGATTCGCGTGTTTACGTCAGGCAGACATTTCGGAGCTCTTCAATGGAACTTTCCACAGTGGGCCTTGGAAGACCTATCTGTCTTGTTTTCTCTTGTACGTCGTTGAAAAGATGATTGGCACATCTAAATCGGTACGCTTGCTGAAAGGTGGAGTCCAACACCTCCTCCAGGTTGATTTCGCCATCCAATCCACAACCTTTTAACGACTGAGAAAGTGCGGGTTCTTCTGAAACCAAGGCTTTAAAAAGGTGGCTGTAAGACGTTTCTGTCTTGTCTTTAACTAGAGTTACCGGCCCGATCATTACTGGATGGTTTTGCTGGCCTTTGCGTCTCAGGATCAGGTTCTGGTATGTTGTCACTACCGCCCAGAATGGTCCCAGATTAAAGGTCACATTAACGAACCAAACTATTGCCGAAATCTGTGCAGAAGTTTTTTATGTCATTCACTTGCCTGCGGTTAAAGAGCAGATGTGTGGCAGTACCAGCTCTTTCGATAAACTGCTGGTGGAAGCATTCGTCATCTTCCATTTCCATGGAATTGAGGGACCAGAACAGAGGATTTTCTCTGATGTTACCCATGGATTTAGCTTTCATGTTCTTCACATTATAGACCGTTTCGTGTTCCGTGGAAGCTGAGAAACTGCAGAGGCGCCTGTTAGACCCCCAACCTTTTTCTCTACGTTATGAAAAGGCTTTCTAGCAGACGCCTTATCATCAGTTTCCTTCTTCAATAGCTGCATGGTTGAAGGATTGACCCTGACGTACGGCAATTGGTTTCCTTTGCTGTTACCATGTGGAAGTAAATCAAATGAACAGGGCTCTCCCTCGAATCTGTACTGAATGAATACGTATGGGAATTCTTCGGGTTCAACAACGGCTTTGACAAGGTCTTTCCATGCTTTGTTTCTGTAGGTTCGTCGCCTGACCATTTGACCCCTGCAATTCTTGCGCTTTGATTTACTTAACTTCCACACACCCATAGCATCTACCGCTGCATCTGATGAGCTCAAGTTCTTTGTGCTGATCAGGAAGCTGACGTTGCAAGAAACCCTCTTTGAACGTCCTCCTTGGACGCTGGAGGACAGATGCTGACTGTTCTGAGAAGCCATGAGTTCTAGCACTTCGTCGTTGGTTATTGGATCCGCCCTACCATGAAATATCCCAGATGCATGTTGATGGCATGATGATAGGTCGCAGGTAATAGGTGTTCTGTTGATTGTAGAGAGAAATGTCAAATTTAATATGGGCACATGTAGAACAAAAAGATACTCTAATCATGAAAATAGCCACATCTAACATATTTTGTGGGCCTTGAAAATAAATCAAGTATAATAGGCTTCCTACAAGATCCCAAAGTTTCATTTTTACTCTCTTCACTAATGCTCTTAACATTATCGAGCGAAAGGCAGACTAAGCCACCATTCGGTCGCTCCCCCACCCTCACCTCACGTCTCTCTAGATACAGTTTCTGGAATTATAGAAATGGTTAACAATGCTTGATAACTACCCGACAGACCCTTTATAAAATCACATCAGCTGAAAACTTTACTTAGTGCAGTTTTTTTTTTAATATTTCACCTTTCCGGAGAGCTGTCTGATGGGCTGTCAGAACTTTCAGAACTCGTTCTGTTAAGCTGTCTTTTTCTGTCATGTGGGATACAAAATAGAAAATTAAACAAAATAAAACATTCAAGTTGCATGATAACCATATCTTTCAGTCTTATCAGCTGTAACGGATGCTGTAACTGATATGTTAAGAGAAAGTTCACACTAATAACTGCAAGGTCATAAAACAATCTCAAAAGGCGCTGTTAACACTAGCTCACATGCGAGGCAGAGGCAAATCTACCGATTGGTCTTCTTTCGATGGAGAGCTTAGTCCTTGAAAGGTTTTACTCAGTTCTTCAACAGACTTGTCGCTATCCTGTACATATGGAACAACAACATCATCACTTTCCTGTGAATGAGCGAAACTGTCTAAAGAATTCATTGAGACTGGAGGAATGGGCAAATTGACTGGCTTTAATCATATTTTTGCGTATCTGCTTCTTTTAACGAACCCAGTTAGGTGTATCAAAGCCGACCCATGTGCCCTCCCATAATCATCTTGCAGTTTATAATGGTGTCCCAAAAGACTAGGAAACTAATGGGCTCCTTGAGAAATATACAGAAATTGTAGGTAAACTTTGGTCAACAAGTTGTGACCATTTTCTTGAGAAGAAAGGTTACCATAGCAACAGCATAACCTTTAAAAAACACCCTTAATTTAAGCTTTAGTGCCAATAACTCAAGACCGAGTTCAGTGACCCCTATTTTTTATTATTGAGCTATGATCCACACGTCATGATACTAGGTTTTGAAAAGTTGAAAAAAATTATCAGAGGTGGAAAGTTGTACCATGACATATTGATCATAACTTAATAATAAAAAATGGAGGTCACCGAACTCATTTTTTAGTTATTGACACTTTAATCTTAAATTAAGGGTGCTTTTAACAGGTTATGCTGTTGCTATGGTAACTTGTTATCTCGCAATGATGATCACAACTTATCGGCCAATGTAAGCAACTGATAAAGAGTGGTAGTAATGGAAACCGTAATTAGCCACCTTCAAACACTTGTTAATTGATGGAACCATTTATTAACAAAGCTTTTGTAGGAAATCAAGTATATTTTCCTTACCATTCCATCACTTACTACTATTGCATGAGGTTCACAACGATCTTTGCAGGACTTTTTGAGGGTTACTGGTAGCTGAGAGATAGCAAATAATACCCTTAGTGCAGGCTCCACAACAATTAAAAAAAACACACAAACACAAAATAGTGAATTAAATGAAACCAGTTGTTTAACACTCAACTAAACTAAAAATTTGCGCTAAGTACTTACATAGACAGTGGAGCATCAAATGTCGCTATGCTCTTTGCTGAAATGAGAAAAAGATTGCAGATTAGGGTTTTGAGCAAGAAAAAAATGTAATGTTGCTATGCTCTTTGCTGAAATGAGAAAAAGATTGCAGATTAGGGTTTGGAGCAAGAAAAAAATGTAAAGGTTTATTTTGAAAAAATGAGAAATAAATTGAAAATTATCCAACTTGAAATGAAGAAGTAAGCACATCAAAGTAAAGGTTTTATCATTACAAACTGTCGTTTACCTACTTTCTTTAATACTCAAGTTAAGTGCTTTCCTGACAGCTTCATTGCACATTTCCATTAAAAAGTAACTTTTGCAACATCATAGAGATCGTGAAAAGGAAAACAAATAGACAAATCTAGAAGCTTACCTATCGTTCCACAGCAACTGGAATTAGGAGTGAAGCATTCTCACCATTTCCCTAAACATAAAGAAAAGCAAAAAGCAGATGTGACTGAAATGTTTCTCTTAGAAAAAGTGCAAATTCTGCCAGTGGGAATGAGTCGACATAACGCAACTACTTACGCTGTCATTAGAATCTTCATGAACATTCCTGTGAAGAAAAAACTATGTGAGAAGCTAGGTACAGGCTTATTAAAGTTTCAGAGTTACACAAAGAAAGCGTGCAAACGCAAATCGACCGCCTCACAAAACCTTTCAAAACTGATGCCTGCCATTGCACAGAATTACGGTAAGATCATCTGACTACAAAATGGAAATGTGATTGCCAACTCAGTGACAATTCGCAGTTCACATAGCTTATGAAATTTTCAATCTCAAACTGTGGTTTGAAAATAACTTACATCGTTTGAGAATGGACTTCCTCTCTATCGGGTTCTATAAACAGACAAACAAACAGAGAATGACAACGTTTTTCACTTAGCAACATGCAAGGAAAGAAAAGATCGAAAAGGATTGAAATGATTATTAAAATGGTAAACGAATTCAAACTTTTGCACGCCCAAACCCGATGCAGATCTGTGCATGCGCGTGAATTTACTGCTGGACAAAACAACTGTGGAAAATCAGGACTGGGCCACCAGGCCTCTGTGCCGCCAGGCCACTGGGCCGCGGGGCCGCCGCGGGCCGCTGGGCGTTCGGGCTGCCGGGCCGCTGGGATGTCGCGGGCTGTGGGCCACGGACCTGCTTTTAGCAAAACCTCGTGTTCGATTGCTCAGTCATTTAATGATCAACTAACTCTTGCCGTTAATGTTTAAATCAAACATATTGTTGATAATAAATCCTCTGCGGGCACTATTTGACATGGGTGTGAGTCTGGGCTTACTCTATCTCCACGATAAACGCAGCATTTCTAGACTGATCGCCTCAATTCTGAATCTTTAGTTTTGACGAGGACATTCCTGACCACACCATCTGTTCCTGGATAGACTTCTTTCACGAAGGCAAGTTCCCATTTTCCTCGTGGGATGTTGAAATCGACAAGGACGACATAGCTGAATATGTTGTGAACCAAACGGAAGACATACGCTGTGACTCTTGTGAGCTTCTGCCAACTTGAGTAATGTTAAGGATCTATCAGTGGTTACTGATTGCTTAATGGAGCCATTATTTTTGTCTACTTTTTCTGAGGATCGTCTTCTGTACTTTGACAAACTGACTTGATTGGCCACTCTTCCTTGAGGCCTTTTAAAAATTGTGGCCCATTCTTCCAACGCCCATCGATGTCTTCTAAAGAGATTCCTTGGCTAAGGTCGTCAGCAGGGTTAAGGTTTGTTGGAACAAATCGCCAGTACTTGGGGTCCCAGGTAGACTATATGTCGGCAACACGAACTCCCACAAAGGGCTTAAACGAGACTGACTCAGAGTTCAACCAATGTAAAACGATACTGGAATCTGACCAAAAAGTAAATGACACAGGCTTAAACTCTTAAACTCGTCACAGATGATTTGGGCAAGTCAGGAAGCCACGAGGGAAGCCATCAGCTCTAGTCATGGGATAGTCGTCTGTCGCAGTCGTGCAACTCTCGCTTTTGCTGCAACCAGACGTACTTCTGGTCTGTGTACTGTTGGCCACAGAAGATAAGCCACAGTTCCAACACAGCTATCGTTGAGTCATTCAGGGTTGGACAGATAGGTACTATATGGTCACCTTTGCATATTGGACACTTTGATTTTTTGCTAATGATCCAGCGGGTGGAATGAATCCTTTCTTTTCCTCGGCCACCTCCACCAAATTCAGATTGGATGTCGCCAAAGTCTGGGTCGAATTAGGCCTTGACGTGTTTCCTCACAGTCACTTATGTGTTGAAGTGTGGGAACCTGGCCTCTTTCTCTGATATCCACCACCACCCCTTTCCATTTGTCCACGAGATAGTCAGGAAGGTGCATGACAATTCTCCTCAAGTTAGCATTGGCGTTTACATCTGCATAATAATTGAGGTGGTGCATGATGGAAAGGCAGTTGAGCTCTGGCTGTAACACTCAGCTCGCCAAACTGCTCGTTTAGACACTTTAGAGCTGTAGCATACATTATGCCCTTTAATCCCAGGCCGGAGATCGCTCGTTCAGGTTCACTCTTTAAGAGCATGCGTAACTGAATCATTTGGGTGGCATCTTTAACGTGTACCTTTTCATGGATGTGGATCTTAAATTGATCTATGAAATCTGTGTAGGAGAGAGGACCACCATCGAAGGAAGGTAGCTGTCTTGAAGAAATGTCATTATTAGCTTCTAATTTGAAAAGCACATTGGCTATCGTGAAATTTCCTGCATCGGACTTGGAAAGGACTGTCTCTTGAGACTCAAAAAGGTCGTCAATCCAAAAGTCAAATGAGTGGGCATGCTCCAGCTTGCCTTTAGGAGCTACATTTAATGTCACTTCATGTGAAACAGGCGGTTGTTTTGACGTCTTTATGGCCTGTTGAGCTTCAACATTATTAGTAGAGGTGTGACCAGCATGATTTTCCACGAGTGTTAAATCCTGGGCAGAAACGGGCTGGACCTGGGAATTTGCCGATACATTAGTGCCACTTGATTGTCCTGAGTTCCCCACAGAACTATTTGCGTCACTTGCGTTACTTGCATGACTAGCCTTTTCAATGGAATCGTCTGCGTTATTTGAGTGATTCGTGTCCCCCACAGAAGCACTTGTGTTACTTGCATGGCTTGCATCCTCTGCGGAACCGGTCGTGTTAACTTGATTTTCTTCAAGCACGATTGAAGAAACTTCCACTTCTTCAATGGAAGATACATCAGTAGCCAAATCATTTTCCCACTGATCCAGGGTGTCGTGTTCTTCTGCCTCCACAGCTCACCATTCTGCTCTCCACCAATTTCGTAGTCCTTTTGAAGCTGTTCGATTTCTTTCCCCAGGCGTGCTTTTTTCGCTTGAACTTCATCTTTATCCAGTGTCTCATGAATACGCCTAATAGCCAAGCTTATTCTTCGGCGACTTTGAGATCTTTGTCTTCTTTTCTTTTTAAGGGTATTCTCCTGGTTTATAGTTTCTTCGCTGGTTCCTTCACCTTTGGCTGCCATCTTTCATAAACAGAGGATTATCTACAAGGGTACCATACCAACTGGCCGACTAAATCAATGCAACCGAGATGAGGAGTCCTTTAATAGCCTTAATAAAGTAGCAATTCTGAAAATCAAGGTACAAATGAATGATTCTAAGATTACATTCCGATCATTTTTGGGACGTTTAGTGAAGCCAATTTCTGATTACATTACAATAAAATGGCTAGAACAAGTTCAAAGACAAACAGGTTAAGGAATAAAACAATCGTACCTGAAGGGTAAAACCTCAGTTGGTCGAAAAGGTTTGAACTGTCCGCAAGGAAATTACTGACTGTAAACACTGTACGAAAACAATTGCTGTCCATATGTAACTTGTCTGATCTACTTGAGAATGAAAAACTAATAATGAAATAAATCACGTGTTTGATTGCTCAATCATGATCAACTAACTCTTGTGGGTTATGTTTAAATCAAACATATTGTTCGTAACGGTGACGTGACCAGTTATTTGAGCTGCCAGATATTTTTGATGGCCTATGTTAATTAAGACCCTTTGCCAATTCCGTTTTATTCAGTACCAATACTATCAGGTCCAACATTCAACGGAATCGGAAAAAGTCGGTACCCGATTGATGGGCATTGGTGTTACCCGATGCCAATATTTCGACACGTTCCCTTAGTGGTGCAGCTGTAGCTTACTTTATGGTTGTTTCTGTTGAAGATCTTGTGCGGTTTGTGTGATTTTAGGAAATTTTTATCAATCAAGGGATGGAAGAACTTTGCAACATTTGTTTTCACATTCTGACTAAAACGTGGATAAAACCAGAAAAGTGTTACGTGATCTGGTTCGATTCTTCTTTTTTGCTCAAGTTTGCCGGTTTTCCTCACACTGGATTGTTTCATCGTAAGCACTGGATCTAAGGGCATCATTGTATAACTGTGATGATTTATCAAAGTCTGCGGGTCACAAGAGAGTGATGATATTCTCGTGCGAATGGAAGCTGGAATTTGCCTAATGATAGAGGGTGGATGGTTGGACTTCACGTTAATGTACAATGGATTGTTGTCTGGCTTTCTGAAAGGATAGTATTTTCCGGTTGTGAGGTTGAGTGTGACATCTAGGTAGTTGACGATTTTCATGTTGCTTTGCACAGTGATTTTAGGCCGAGGTCTCCAAGAATCTTACAGAAAACCTCCCGGGCTTTATCACCTGATCTTGCATTCGTGTTCTTAAAAACGGCACGTTCGTCATTCCTATACAAGCCAATGCTGTCATTTGGGTATTCTGATGAGAGTTTGCTCAGAATATATATATCTATTTAAGTAAATGAAAGTTCCTCCCCTCTTATGGCCACTGCCTGCCCTCATTTCCTGGAATTGATATGACTCATTATAAAATAATGTTTCCGCCTGACAACAAACTAATTGTAAATTGACAACGGTAAATTATACAAAATAGTGTTAATGAAAAATAATGGTAAACAGGTAGCATCATCAACATCATCATTATTATCATTATTGAATTATTAATTTGTTTATCTATCGTGTAGTGTATTGCGTAAATTTACTAAATGTTACACGTTATTTAGGATACCAACCTATGCCATAGGTTTCCACCCATTACCTTATGAACGTAACATTTACGTTGGTCCATTCTTTTAATTCCTCTCCTCTAATGGCTACTGCCTCCCCCAAGGACCCCTTCCCTGGATCCACTACTGCATCTGGTATGGTATGATAACTTTATTTATACATGGTATTTCCTTCAGGTACATTTACATTCAACTATAGAAAAACTATCTAACTAATCTAGAATCTAATAGAAAATTTGACTAACCATAATTAAAGTTTCACAGCAACTTTATGTGCTACATTTTACGAAACCAGAAGATGTTATAGAAATCCACCTTTTATTTCATTATACGGTTCACATGAAATATAGATTTCCTTCCCAGACATTTCTTAAAACGTTTAAATCAACCCACGTTACCTGCTCAAAAATAAGTTTATTAAGCCAAGCGGAAACTGCTGATCGATAGCTTGACAATAAGCCTAAACGCGACTAAACTGAAAAACGCTAAGACTACAATATGATTATTAACTTCACGAAGATCATAAGAGATTAGGAGAATGTCCAGAAATGCACGCATTGGCGAAAATGGCAGAAATGGCAATTAATCGCCAAAATCGCCAAACTGTAAACAAAAATTCAAATGAGATGGCAAAGGGGCCCTTTGGAAAGTGGCGATATTGGCGAAAATGGCGTATTTGGCGAAAATGGCAGAAATGGTAATTAATCGCCAAAATCGCCAAACTATAAACAAAAATTCAAATGAGAAGGCAAAGGGGCCCTTTGCAAAGTGGCGATTTTGGCGAAAATGGTGTATTTGGCGAAAATGGCAGAAATGGCAATTAATCGCCAAAATCGCCAAACTATAAACAAAAAATTCAAATGAGATGGCAAAGGGGCCCTTTGGAAAGTGGCGATATTGGCGAAAATGGCGATTAATCGCCGAAATCGCCAAATTATAAACAAAAATGCAGATGAGATGGCAAAGGGGTCCTTTGGAAAGTGACGATTTTGGCGAAAATGGCGTGCACTAATTCTGTATCTTTTCATCAACCACAAATAAAAAAAAATATAGAGTGCATGTAAGCCTCGTTCTTAAAACGTGTTTTGGCAGAAATGGCAATTACTCGATGAAAAACCTAATCTGTCAAGACAAATTGAAATGACATAGCAAAGGGTGCCTTTTGAAATGGCTATTAATTGCCAAATAGTTAACCACAAATTAATATAAAAATGTTTCCAATAGTATAATTGTATACTAATAATGACAACGGTACTGTAACTTAAGTGTCGTTAATCTGTTTTTAATGCTTTTACCTTTAATTGATAACCTCTTGTGATTTGAAATTCGTCCCAGACAAGAGTGTTTGGTCGGGAATTACCACTTATAACTAATTTCTTGCTCAATTCAAATCGAATAGCCAACGAGTTGTATTCGATTATCAGTAAATGGTAATCTTCGTAATGTTCATGGCAACTTTCTTACCAAAAAATCCAAGATAGATATCCTTAATTTTCCAGGCTTGTAGGCATTGTTTGAATAGCGAGAGTTCAACATTATATGTTATGAGGAATCCAGTTTGGTTCTTGGCTACGCATTCAGATAATTAGATGGTCCGTATTGCCTTGTATATCCATCCTGTTTGTTATAATGGCGTTCAATCGTACAAGTATATATAAACGAGCTGGTTCATTGCAGTTTCACAGAACATGAACGTGTAAGGTTTAGTAGTTGTTATATAGACGCGGCGGCCATGTTGAAATAGTCGATTTTGGATAACTGCTTTATGTAAGTAGAAACGATTAGTGTCATTCCCAGCCGACTTTGGTGGTCACTCTATGTAGGAAAAACGATTAATGTCGTTCACAGGGACTCTCAGGCAATTGTTAAAATAGAAGGTAAAAAGGCCGGGTGACGTGTTTCGACGAGCATTAGCATTAGCAATTTAATGGAATACATATTGTACTGAGAATTGGTTTAGTGGTCTCAGCCCAAAAAAACAATACATTTTCTAAGTTTCTGGCCCCACCTCATATAGCAATAATGGGACACATTTTTTAAGAACGAGACAAACATGTACACTCTCTTTTTATATATCTAGTTGATGAAAAGATACAGAATTAGTTTGAATGGGATATGTTTTATGAAAGAGACAAACAAGTTCTTACTTTGATCCAATGTTTATGTTCAATAAATGCGGTGAAGTATTGGGCACAAGTGACATTTCGTGTAGGTTTACATAAATTGGAAATAAGCAAATTCACACATTTCAAAATGGCGCATGCAAGCTGCTGGACTTTTCGGCTTTCGTTACTTTTAGGGGACCGTTTCTCTAAAGAGCAAAACAAGTAAGTGCGAGAAGAAAGTGAAGAACGACGTGAACGTGAAAAACGACGGAAGAAGATAATGTGTATAGTGGAGAACCAAACAAGAATGAAGGGCACACAATGTTTATCGTGAAAGCATCTTTTAGCTAGGAACCATGCGTTTCGCAATCGCTTTTGATTTAAGGCTGCCTCACAATTTAATGAAACCAATGTGAAGAGAATTGTAACCAGTAAGGATTGTTAGGGTCTACATCGAACCTCAAAAGTTAGAGTGTCCATGGCAAGGAATTATTATGATTTCAAGGACTTGGTAGTTCTATCCTCGAGTAATTAGTGGACTTGTAAGTGAAACAAGTTAGGAACATACCAGAGTCCGCTACAAACTGATTTATTTACCAGCTACCATAACAGAAGACAACCAAGATGGCGGACTGAGCTATTTTTGCCCAGGAACGCTGAACACGTGCCCGGATGGCACTTCGTGTACACTAACCTAAGGTATACTCGTTACATCTCCTTTCCTTAGTTTAACAGCAACACAACAAACAAAATGTCTAACGAGAAATACTCTTGATCTATTAAGCAAAGGATCTTTGTAAAAAAAAAACAACAACAACAACAAAAACAAAAAAACAAAAAAGATCTGTTCAAAGTAAAGGATCCTTCTAAAGCAAAGTCTTAGTGTCCACATTCGTAATCTTTTAACCAAGCTGGAGGCCGACGCTCACGCACTGGACGACTTGTCGTACATGGTTCAGGAACTTCCGCTGATACAGGCATTGTCGGCAGTGACACATCAGCTGAGCTCGATTCACCAGGTTCAGAAGGCTCTGTAAGGTCTTGGATTGTTACTGTGGGCTCTACTTCCTCAGGGGTTGCTCTGAGCCATTTGCGGTTGCGGCGGTAATGCTTTCCATTCACATCCACCCAAAAGGAACGAGGACCCTCTTCTCCAATGACATGTCCAAGCGACCATTCATTTTCACCAGGTAAACGCATTCTTACAGCATCGCCTTCATGCAATGTAGGCAGTTCATGGGAGTGCCGGTCATAATAGAACTTCTGTTTCTGCTTCCTAGACTTGATCTTTTCTGGCACATCAGAAATCACCTGTGGGACTAGCAACGACTTGGTAACTGGGAGACGGGTGCGTGTTCGTCGACCATACAGTAGCTGAGCGGGAGACGCATTCATGCCTTCAGATGGAGTGTTGCGCCATTCAAGT